ATACAAAAATTGGACTGTTTAGATAAAACGTGTGTACTCATGTTTGATGAAATATCCCTAGAGCCAACATTGACATATGATAAGAAATGGGATACAGTTGTAGGATTTGCTGATTTAGATCAAAAAAGAAGTTTAAGATTTGCAGACCATGCCTTAGTGTTTATGGTACAAGGGTTAAGGAAAAAATGGAAACAGCCAATTTCCTTCCATTTTACTCAAGGGGGAATTAATTCCGATCAGCTCAAAGTATTACTTAAAGATACAATTCTCGCACTTCAGCAAATAGGGCTAAATGTGATCTGCACAGTTTGCGATCAATATTCTGCAAATGTTAATGCGATAAAAAAATTGATTATGGAATCGCCAAGAAAGAGTGCACAAGCAGATATATTTCAAATAGGGCAACATGAAATTGTTGCCATTTACGATCCACCCCACTTGTTAAAAGGCGTCAGAAACAATTTAATAACAAATAAATTAAGATTTGTTGACAACAATGTCGTTAAAGAGGCCAATTGGGATCACATTGTACACCTATATGAATTGGATGAAGGAGATTTTAATACGAGAATGTGCAACAAATTGACGGATGCTCATATCTATAAAGAGAAATTGAAAAAAATGAAGGTGAAAAATGCAGCCCAAGTTTTTTCTCACAGAGTGTCCTCAACATTGAGATGGACCGTTAAATATGGTAAGCTTAATTTTGATATAAATATTTTAGTCTTTAATCCTGTATTGTATTTCATTTTTTTATAATTCAAATTAGATATTAAAAAATATATTTTGTTACAGGCCAGCAAGGACTACTTCCACCAGCTGCTGAAGGCACTGCCAATTTCTTATCATTTATGGACCAGGTATTTGACAGTGTCAATGGTTCCACTTTTGAAGCCGACCAAGGCAAAGAATTAAGGTGCTGTGTCAAAGATAGATCCAACCATTTACAATTTTGGGAAAAAAGTGTACAAACATTTAACTCTGTTAGGTTTATAACACCTAAAGGTGAGAAGATTCCACCTACAATCCAGAATTGGATAAAAACTCTAAGAGGATTCATATTCCTGTGGAAACAGTTACATAAACTTGGCTTCAAGTATTTTTCTCCCAGAAGGGTTAACCAAGACCCACTGGAGAACTTTTTTGGGTGTATAAGAAGTCATGGCGTCAGGAATGTGAATCCTACATGCTATTCCTTTGTATCATCATACAAAACATTAATAATCAATAATTTTACCTCCCCGCATTCTATAAACTCAAACTGTGAAGAGGACGATAGCACAGCTTTAAATTCTCTAAAAGTTTTGTTACATGTCACACACGTTGAAGGGGAGGTTTCTGAGGAAGATGATGAAGCAGAATTTAATGTAGAATTTGAGGTCCCGCAAAATACTGGAATTGTTGCAACACATGCCTACATTGCAGGTTACATCAGTAGACAAATCAAAAAGAAAATAGGCAATTGTTCTGTATGTTTAAATCAGATGAATGCTTCATCGTCTTCTGAAGAACATTCTTTAATAGATGAAAGAAAATACAATGAGAATAGCAAACTCACAAAACCAAAAACACAGTTTCGAAGAGTTTTTTCTTATATGGCTATTTTATTTACAAAAATTATTTCTAAATATATCATTGGTCCTCATTTAAAAAATAAGTTAAGCCGAGTGTTTACAAAAAAACTATACAATCCATTTCTATGTACAGATCATGATCTGTTTAACATATATATAGATACATTTTTAACATTTTATATATACACATACACAAAAAATATAAATTTAATTTTGAGAGGCCGCGTTAAATATAATTTTAAAGAAAATGATGCATTAAAAAAATTAGCGTGGCAGAGGTATTTAAATTTAAAGATTAAAAATAAAAAAATATTACAATTGAAACAATTAAATAAATAACTTAAGTCTACACTAGTCCATTTTTAGTACTTTTAACGATATTTAAACTGTCGTATAATATATCGTATTTGTACGCTTATTGTATAGTTAATTTGTTAAATTATTGTATAAATTTAATTATTATTAATATGTTATTGTATAAATTAAATTATTGTATAAAAAGTATTTGTTAAATTGTTGTATAGTTAATTTGTATGAGTTTTTGCAGACAAATCATTCAATCCATTTTTATTCACAGATCATGATCTAATTAACATATATGTAGATTTTTATCATAGACACATACAAAAAATATAAATTTAATTTTGGAGGCCTTGTTAAATATATATAAACCAAACCAAACAATACACAATTTTTAAAATTAAGTCTACACTAGTCCATTTTTAGTATTTTAACGATTTTTAAACTGTTGTGTAATAATAATAATATATCGTATTTGTTTGTCTTTAAAATTGTTCTACGTCACAAGAGGAAATTTGTGTAAAGAACGCAAAATTGGGTTAATATATAATTGTAAAACTTACCGGCAATTGTTGTTGCCCTATATTTTCTCTTTTAATTTTTAGTTTATAGATTATATATCAAATTTACTATTTTCATAATTTTGTAAAAATGGTGAAGGATTGCCAATAAATAAATATTTATATTAAAAAATAAATTTGCATGTTTAAGCCATTAATTGTTTAAAATTGTAATTTTCCTATTTTTTTAATTGTTTAAAATTGTAATTTCATTCATATTTTGTTTATATTTTTATTTAATTCTAATAAAATAATATAAAAGTAACCTGTTTTTTATTAACATATATTTTGTTTTATCTTGAATAATTCAAAACAATAAAGTAAGTTGCAAACTATTTATATTTGATGAAATAGTAATCAAAACAATAGCTGCAACTTGCTTTGTAGTTTTGAATTATTCAAGATATGTATTTGAAAATAAATTGTAAAATTATTCCGATTTGAATATAGCGCCAAATGAAGTTTAGTACCCGCCCGCTCCACAAGCGTCGCTGCAAAACATGTTTTGGCGGGAGGGCGAGAGTCGCCAATCTAAATTCGTTCGGTTATCTATGGTTGATACTTTTTACACCGTCACGAAACTATTCGAAGTCCGCGCATGCTAACAAAGTGCAAGAAAACCGATTCGAGTACGATTTCGAAACGATCCCGAAATGCTGGTTGGAACAAACCTTATGATCATTGTTTTATAAATAAAGTACAAAAAGCCAGAAATAAAACCTAACCCCTACATGTATCCTATTATTTTATAATGTTATTTTTGGTCTAAAGTTATCAAATGGTCAAAGGCAGAGCCAATTGTAATTGGGTACTAACCAGATAATATTTTAAATTTATATTGTTGAGTTAGGTTATTTACCATATACATCATTATACGCTATGTATAAAACATATAATTCAAAACGTATTAACGTTCCCAACCCTGCAGCTGATACAAACAAATAAAATGCATCAACGAGTATGTAGTCTGTCCGACGATACATGACAGTGACAGTTGTGTATGTTATTTTAATTCACAGATAAATTAAATTTTCTGTTATTTTTTGGATGTCGTCTGTCGAAATCTTGACTCCTAACTTGTTAGATAGACTTTATTTGTGATCGAATATCTGTCTCTGAAGCAAAACAAATAAGGGTATGTAATAAAAATATTTGCGAAAATAAATGTTTCTAGGAAAATATTAGTATTGTATAATATCAGATTAAGTCAAATATTTTTGCCACAATACACAAAAGTTAATAAACAGGTACTGATCAATATATTGTAAATATGTATTGACAAAAAATAGAAAATATGAATAAGATAGAAAACATGAGAGTGGCGACATAAAAATAATGAAACTAAACAATTTTTTGAAACGTTTTTTTTTAAATTTTAGTCTATTTTAAATATTTATTTTACATAAAAACTTCGTTATTTCAAATGCAACACTATGTATTTTTTTAAATAAGTCGAAGAAGATGTAAATGATCTTTCAAACTATATTAGAGTTTCCTATACCTATCTGTCCCAGATTTTGAATAAAAAGCGATTTTTCAATCAAATTGTAATCAAGATGGCTGGTGTCGCCATAGCAATTTTCTAGTGACACTTGGTAGCTATTTTCAAAATCGCATTAGTTTATGGACTTTATTTAAATTTATAACAGGTTATTTTTATTTAATTTACCTGCAATAAGATTAATAAGTATTTATTATTTTATCAAGAAAAATGAAGCAGTATCTGCTAGCGGAAGGAATGGATATGTTACTAGTGATTTTATTTTGTGAGGACAATTGCTTTTGGCCTGACGGGTTTATGTTCAAAGTAATTTATTTCGTATAATCAACCGAGGCGAATGAGGTGCGCCACCCTGTATATAATTATTATATATCGAAAATCTATGGTTTCACTCGTTGAATTTGACATTTTATGACAGTTTAATAATATATTATCGTATTTTTATGCCTATGTATTAAAATGACTTTTTTATATTGCCAATCACGTCGCAAAAATTAATAGTTTTGTGAATACTTGTGTGTTTCTTTGAAAAAAAAAATATTTTAAGAATACATATATTAATTTGTTGTTAAAAAAATTATGAATATCTTGTTTCTTGTTTTATACTATACAGGGTGCGTCTCAAAAGTGGCTCACCCCTATAGCTTTTTTATTTTTTCAGATAGAAAACGATATTTGGTATATGACATAAATTAGGATTGATTGATGTTTTCAATTGTTTTTGGTCACTTCCTGTTTCATAAACCATATGCGAAAATGTCAAAAGTTGACATATGTCACTCTACTCAGAGTGTCATTTTCTATTGAATAAAGTAAAAAAATACAGAGGGTGCCATTTAAGAATCAAAAGTTGTAGTCATTGCCAGTGAAAGAGGAAGTGACCAAAAACAATTGAATGCATCAATCAATCCTAATTTATGTCATATAATAACATATCAAATCTCGTTTACATCCGGTATGATGTGCTTGATAATATAAGTTAAACATTTTTTTTTTACAAAAAGAAGATTTAGCGAAATAAAAAAAAGATAATTATCAATTATAAGATAAGAGGTATTAAAACATCTATTCTATAATTCCTTTTTTGTTACAATACCTTGTAGGTGGTAGGCCTTCATATGAAGAATATAATCCTGGGGGTGGCACATATGGTAATGGGGGTAGTTGATGTTGCATAGATCGCATATAATCAGCTACATAAGCTTCAGCGGCAGCTGCTGTGTATGGTCTAGGAGATTCTCTATCATAATATGGAAGATATCTGTATTAAAATAAACATAACAAAATCAGTGCCAACAATTTGAAATCAAAACTTGATAATAATAATAAAATAGTTAATTTTATGTAAATATAATTCTTATGGCATGTGCAGTCAAATATCAGAGTTATTGTATAAATTAGGTACCTATATTTTTTAAATAAGACACTCTATCGGGTGGTGCATCGTCGTTGGGAACATAGGAAATCCCATGCAAAATTTGAACTGTCCAGATATTGGCTCCCCTATGGATTTCATAGCGAAGTCGTAAATAGACTTTTTAAAGGTCTACATTTGGTAAACACACATGCCAAATTTGAACAATTTTGGACAAGCCGATTTTAGGTAATTTGAGAAAAACTTAATCGATTTTTAAATTAAAACTGAATAGGTAACAATCAAACACCAGTCAAAAACCGATATTCCTTAAGTTGTCAGCGTCATTTTCAAACGTAACTTAATTTTAATAAAATTTTAATATTCAGTACTAGTAATAATTTATTGTTATACACACAAAGAAAAAGTGAGCATGATAAAATACGCGGGAAATAGATTAGACAGTGTATCTGACATGTTTCGGTTAATTTTCCCTAAATATTAAAATTTTATTAAAATTACTTTTGACAATGACAAAATCATAGTTAGTAAACCTAAGGTATGTCAGTTTTTGACTGGTTTTTCTCAAATTACCTAAGATCGACTTGTCCAAAATGGTTCAAATTTGGCATGTGTGTCATACCAAATGTAGACCTTTAAAAAGTCTATTAACGACTTCGCTATAAAATCCATAGGGGAGCCAATATCTGGACAGTTCAAATTTTGCATGGGATTTCCTATGTTCCCAACGACGATGCAACACCCGGTATATACATACACTACACAAAGTGTTTCCAAGCAAAAATTTGGTTTAACAAAAAATACAATACAGAAAAGATAAAAATTTGGAACATAACTAATGTTTATGAGGGCCATTTGGCGTTTGGCGATAATATTTTCAATATATACTTATTTGTAAATAATTCATGTAGTGTTTTGTAATGGTGATAGCATTTTAATAATAGAAAAAATCATATTTGAGGATAGATAACATTATACAAAGTTACCTTTATTTTTGACAGTAAATAAAATAAAAAGAACAAAAATTGGAATTTCTTGAAATTTATATACATTTTTGAATCTATTTCTTCTAATAATTTTATGGACATTCTATACAATAATTTGAAACTATTACAAAGTTTCAGTAAAATACATACAAGGCATGTATGTTGTGTACGTTTATAAATACATATTAAAGGGTACAAGCAACATGTAGTCATTAAAAAATGTATTAGAACTGAAAACTATTTAATTATTTCACACTGAAAATGTTCATTTTTAAAATTCTAATTTTAATATTTCTTATACTTACCTATCTCGGGAACGTGGTGAAGGAGAACGACGGTAAGTTGAAGTTGATAAATTTCGAGCTGAGGCTGACAAAAACAGTTTCCGTCGCGAAAAAGATGCTCCTCTGCCTCCCCTAAAGTTAAATGTTGCTCTAGCTGCCAATGGCATTCTGGCTTTTATATTTCTACCTCTTATACCCATTTTCTTAGAAGCTTCTTTAGCCAGTCGCAAAATCGGAGTTATTTCAATGCCATCATCCTCAGGAAATAGCCTACAAAGTTCTTCAGCTACCCTAGGCTCTATCTCTTGACCATCACGGCCAATTTTTACTGGCTTTCCATCGTTCCAAGGATTATACAAATGCATTGTACTAGAGAATGGTAATTCCTTGCGACATATCCAATCAACTTTAAATACACCACCTAATGCTCTTGCTGATAAACCTGGAGGCAGAACCCAAGAGATTGCCGCCACATCATGCCTAGATTCCCCATGTAACCGAGCAAATCCTGCAAACTTCCCACTCTCTTTAACTGAGAATATTAAAAGAACATTTCTAGCTTCTCTGTATGCTTGGTTTAAATTTGCCTCATTTTGTGGCAAAGTTGACCAAACACCTTTAGCCTTTGAAAGGGTAATGTTTTCTGCATTATTTGATTTAATGACGAAGAAACGAGCGTCTCGAAATAAGTAATTTAATTTAGTTAAATAATCGTAAGACTTAATTTTAGTTTCTTTTGAACGGGCCCGCTTGGAAGCTGGCGATGGACTTTTGTTGTCTGAATGTGCCCTTTTATGCCGTTCACGGCCCTGACTTGACGAGTTGCTGCTTACAGAACTGATGCTTGGAGCACTGGATGCTTCGGAGCTACTTGAAGAAACATCGCTTTCATAATTTACTTCGTCTATCTTGATATCATCGCCCATATCTAAAGTAAGGTTCAGATTTTCAGCATCTACACTACCATTTTTATTTGAAGAATTTGAGTCCATTATTACTCTTATTTCGGTCAATACCGCTAATGTCCGCTGAAGGCAGAAATCACGCACGCATTTTTATTCTACTCAGTATCATATTTACATTAAAATTGTTTAAAAAATATTAAAATATACGGTCTGTCATCAAATTTAACCATTTAACCACAGCCAATACAGCCATACCACAGCATTTAACCAAACAAAAACACCACCACTAGGACTACCACACTGTCAACGCATAGTTGTTACCTTTAGAAAATTAAAATTACTAGGTGGTGATCAGGGTTGCCAAGTTGCTCGCAGTTGAATGTGGTGAAACATGGGTGAAACTTGGGTGAAACTCAAGAACAGGGTGAAACCACGGTGAAACTGAAATATTGCCATGTCACATACAGTACGTCTGTCCGTTCTGTAGCTACGGGGTAGCCGTGAGAGGGGAAACGATATTCTCTCGATGTTTTTCGTAAAAAAATAGACAACGCGTCCCATCAATAAGAATTCAACAAATTTGCAAGTAGCCAATAAAATGAGTGGACGGAGCGATTTGCGGTGATGAACTCGTCAAATCGACGTATAAAATATATTGCTGTTTATTTAAATGTTTTTTGTCCGCATTCCTTTCATAGACACAGATCCAACAGATGTACTGTAGTTTGCACGTAGTTTTACATTTATTATTTTTATGAGATTTGCGCTCTTTGGTTCTTAGTCAAATTTTGATTTAGAATATAAATAATTTGTCTTTATGTCGATTTTACCTATTTATTATTCCGGCATTAAAACCGGAGCTATGAAGTGTAGAGGCAAAGGCGTAGTCTTTATTAGTAGGGATTTTACGTATTCTAGCCCATGTCTAGCGCTAGACCTAAAAGCACAGCCGAAAACCTTTTTGGTAACACGGTAACACCACGAACACCCTATAGATAAGGATGGGTATAATATTCTTAATCTAAGGGTATAATAATAACTGCCTCTGCACTATACAGGGTGTCCCAGAAATAAGTGCAAGTATTTTAAGGGGTGCTGGTGTGGTAGATCTGGTCAAAAGAAACATTTTTTCTCTTCACCGTTTTTCAAATAACTCCAAAATAACCGAGTTATATAGTTTACTATGAAAATTTAAACAAATTGTGTTAATACCTAAATGGAGTGTTGTCTATGTTTGTTTATAATCCACAAAATAAACTTAAAAGAAATCTTAAAAATTTGGACAAAATAATAGAAATATAAACGTATTTAACGTTTATATTTAAATTAATAATTAACTAATTTAATAACTCGTTTTTTCTACACAAATTAAATATAATAAAAAGATTCACACTTTGTTTTCAGATTTATTTAAACACTAATAAATACAAAATCAACACTATATTTAAGTCTTACAATTATGAAGGGTTACTAATATTTGTTTTTTGTGAACTATCAGTTTCAAAAAATCCTTTTCTATCAACTAAGGGAATATGTTTCTGTCTGAACAAATAATTTACATTTCCCGATGGTGAGTATAAGTTTCTGCCTTCTTTGCCCATTAATTCTCTTAAAGCAATATTTCTTTTTATAATGTTGGAATAATATTCTTTCCCGCCTTCTACAAATATAGGACTGGTTTTTTTCAGTTCTTCATCAATTGCTTCCTCATAATAGTGCTCTATTGCATCTTTGCACAAGAAATAATTACCAAAGGACAGTAAACTAACCAAGCCATACATGCCAAGTCTAACAATTCTGTGTTTAACATACAGATTGAATTTAGTATTCAACAATCTGCTCAGACCATAGGTCATTAATAAGGCGGTGGTTGTTAAAAAGACATCTATAAGAGGTTTTACCGATTCCCGATACCTTAATTCACGTGCTATTGCATATTTTTGTGCATTTTCTGAAAAAATTAGTGACTCCAATAATTGATTGCTAGCTGGTAATTCCCAGTTAACTGATTCCAAATTTACCTATAATTATTACATTTCTCAATTATTATAAATTAACAAATGATTTTTTGATTTTATTTTACCTTTATTCTAGGTTTGTCCAGTGAATCAACATCGTTATACATAAAATTATTTGGAAGTCCTACAATAATTCCAAACCTACTATATCCACTTCCTGCACTGCATATGTCAAATCCACTAGTCATAAATGGTCGACAATCAGTCCTTCTTATTGAAGGAACCTGTGATAAATAATAGCAATATAATATTAAATTCAAAATAATAGTTTCGCTATCTACACTAAATATAATTGCTATCTATACCTTCAATAGTTCTAGAGTCTCATCGAATCGTTTTAGTAATTCTTCTGGGACTGGAACTGAAAAACCTTTGCTGCAATAATGAAATTTTGGTTTCATACTCAGGATATTTTAGATTTAAACAATGTAAAATACGCTACCTGTAAAGAGTTTTAAATTTTTTATATTGTTCCAGAAATATTGTATGAGATACAAAATAGGCTGCGGGTGTTAATGTTGCTATTGTTCCCGCTAGTATATACGATGCATGTTGGCCTTTCTCAGAAATAAACCAATTTAAAATTTTCTTCGTTGTCATTTTCTTCAAAAGCAATATTTATTTATATCTACCCTTGATATTGATATCTACTTGTTTCTCTATGATTTCTCGGTTTAGAAAAATAGCCGGCCATGTAGAATTATGTCACAGCCACAGGTCACAGCTGTCACAGGTCACAGTACAGATGCATAGCACCTTAGACAAGGAAAGAGAGGGGACAGGTAACACGGCAGCTGAAAGTGAGGCAAGTTGTCACCACGCGAAATTCTCCAATGGCGTAGCATAAGAAATTAGCTTGTACCTAGACGATAAAAAATATTTATTAAAACGTTAACTAATATATCGTTTATTTTTGAGTAATGCATATACAATTTTGTATTTTATAGTCTCACCTTTATAATATTAGAATATCTAAGCCGATAATGCAAAATTTATTTAACAGTCACAGTGAACTGATCATCAAGACAATTATTTATTTATTAACGTGTGTATAATGTATAATTAAATAAAAAATAATGTAAATATATATGTTTTAAACGTGTATATACATATATACCGTATGATCGAAAAATAACGGCATCCTGTTTGTTTGGAAATGACGATCGATAATGACATTCCCCATACATATAAAATGACATAAAAACTATATAAAATGACATCGAAAAAAAAAATAAGGAATGTCATCGACAGTCATTTACAAGCCAACTGGACGCCGTTTTTTTTTCGATCATACGGTATAATAATGAATCTAGGCAATCCCCTTCACACTTACCTACGGATTCAATGAATAATGTAATTTTTAATATTTGTTACCTTCAATCATAAGAATATCCAAATTTTCCGCAAAAAAAAAACAATTCTAGAAGCTTTGTGTTATTTTATTTATTTATTTTTAAATTTTTATTAATTACTCACTGAAACTATTATTATACACCTAAACTAGCAAATTTTTTGAAAGGATATTTAAAAAAATATTGTAACAAGTACCCCACCACAAGTTTGTCCACCCCCAGCAAATCTTGGCAGGTAAATTTAAGTTTTATGTAACAACTATACATATAGATTTTTATATCCAAAATTTTTCATGTTTTTTTTAAAGTTTACAATTATTATTTTACATATTTGATAACAATACTTTATACATTTTTTTACATGTAAAATATATAGAAAAATGTTTATTGCAGATATTGTATTTCTCTGATTATAATTCCCTACGCCACTGGTGAAATCCATGCTGAGTAGCATTATTTATAGTTTCAAATGGTTTCAAACATTAATTATAATACAGGACATTGAAAATACTACTTGGAATTATTAAAAATAGTTTGGTTTGGATGTGGTACAAAACATATTAAAAGCATTTTACATATTTTTACTGCTATAATGAAAAAAATGTACATTTTATGACTACATAGCACAAGTTGTGTATCAATTTTTACCTGTAAAATGTAATTCCAGTCATTTTTTTCTCGCTTCAGCCTTTGCAGCCATACGCCGAACATCTCACCATACTAAACAACACAGTTTATAAATTTAAAACAAAACAGTATTTAAAAAAAACTTAAAAATTCGCTTGGTGTCACCTCGAAATCTTGTCACCAAAGTATGGCCGCCGATCAAATTTTGCCCTCAAAAATTTTTCACCGGAGAATATGCGTGTTAGCTGTCCCCCCTCTTTCCTTGTCTAAGCATAGCACAGATGGCACAGATGTCAATAGACAAAATGTCAATATCAAAAAATAATATGATGTAAATCTAAATCTACAGATCCTACTAATTTATACAACATATATAATCTAGGATTAGATTTGTGGCACCACTGACCACATATATAAATATGAACACCACAGATTTAAAAATTATTCATATAAATTGTAGATCATATTCTTAGAAGTATATTTATATGATTTATTAGATTTTCAAAAATTTGACAATTTAATATTTTAATAAAATTCTCTGAAAACAATATTTTAGGAGTTCGTAATATTATTGCAAAACTAATTAAATGTACAAGTTATTGTAGCTCTAAAATTAATAGGCAAGACTGTTATCTGTGACTTAAATGGGAATGAATTATATTTGAAATAATCCATCTTGAAAATGAAGAAATATCAAATTTTTCTTGCAATTTATTTTGCGTTATGGACAAATGTTACAACAGAATTACTACAGAATGCTAGTGTGGCAAGTGATGTAAAGTCAATATTATCAAGTAATAATGTAACGCCGACAACAACTCATATTAATACTTCTCAAATTGGAAATGTTACAACGACAAAACCTATAAATCCATTACTGAATAAAACTGATAGTGTGGCCCCAGGAAATCAACAACCTAATAACTCATTTGTTTCATCCACTGTTCCAACAATATCGTTACGGAAGATTGAACTCAAAGCAATTGATTTTAATGGCACAATAAACAATTCAGAAAAAAAGAATGGAACGGTTAATGTAACATCCACGACACAATCTGTAGATCCAGTTTTACCAGATAAAGGTGCAGCTGAAGATGAACATAATAGCTCCATGGCTATATTTTTTGTCTTATGTGTATTGGCAATAGGAATATTACTTATCCACGTTATGTTGCAAACTGGTTTCCAATATGTTCCAGAAAGTATTGTTATAGTATTTTTAGGCGCTCTCATTGGATTTGCTATGAGTGCTTTATCCAAAAGAAATATTAGTAATTGGAGAAAAGAAGAGGCGTTCTCACCCACAGCATTTTTCTTGATTTTACTTCCCCCAATAATTTTTGAGTCTGGTTATAATTTACATAAAGGCAATTTCTTTCAAAATATAGGTTCAATATTAGTATTTGCTATTTTAGGGACAACTATATCAGCTTTTGTGATAGGATTTGGTATTTACTTTCTAGGTCTGGCACAAGTAGTTTATAAGTTAAGCTTTGTGGAGTCTTTTGCTTTTGGATCTCTTATATCAGCTGTTGATCCAGTTGCCACTGTTGCTATATTTCATGCTTTAAATGTAGATCCAATTTTAAATATGTTAGTGTTTGGAGAAAGCATCTTGAATGATGCTATTGCAATTGTTCTTACTACAGCAGCTTTAGAATCAAATAATCCTTTAATGAGCACTGGAGAAGCTATAGTAATAGGCATTCAGAGATTTTGTTTGATGTTCTTTGCATCTGCTGGGATTGGGGTAGTTTTTGCTCTAGTAAGTGCTTTACTGTTGAAGCATGTAGATTTGCGGAAAAATCCGTCCTTAGAATTTGGAATGATGTTAGTTTTTACATATGCTCCGTATGTATTAGCTGAAGGTATTCATCTTTCTGGCATTATGGCCATATTATTTTGTGGAATAGTTATGTCCCACTACACTCATTTTAATTTATCAACAGTCACTCAAATTACAATGCAACAAACTCTTCGAACTTTAGCATTTATTGCAGAGACATGTGTGTTTGCCTATTTAGGACTAGCCTTGTTTAGTTTCAAACATAGGGTTGAACCAGCTTTAGTAGTATGGAGTATCATCCTTTGTCTTATTGGAAGAGCCTGTAATATATTTCCACTAGCCATTTTAGTCAATAGATTTAGGGAACACCAAATTACTCGAAAAATGATGTTTATTATGTGGTTCAGTGGATTAAGAGGCGCCATTTCTTATGCACTCTCACTTCACTTAAACTTTAGTGATGAAACAAGACACGTTATCATAACAACGACCCTAATCATTGTTCTGGTGACCACTTTGTTCTTTGGAGGTTCTACGATGCCACTATTAAAGTTCATGCAAGCAACAAAAAATCCTTCAAGGAGGATAAAGAAAAGGAGGAAAGACAGAGAAGTGACATTAAGTAAAACTAGGGAATGGGGCCAAACACTTGATTCTGAACATCTTTCTGAAACAACAGAAGGTGAAATGGAAGTATCTTTTGTTTCAGATAGAATAAAAGGATTTGCTAAATATGATCTTAAATATCTGATACCATTCTTCACAAGAAGATTTACACAACAGGTAATTTTTCATTATATTTTTATTTTTAAAATATTTCTTATGCATCATGCATGCATTGCCTGATATACGTATTTTTGGAAAAATGTAGTTCGTCTTTATGTCATATTTAAAGGGACTATTAAATAAATTAATAAATTTATAAACGTCATTAATCATATGTTTTTTTTCTTACGTCGGTGACGCCTAAACATAACCTTAAATTAATGAACAGTAAAATAGTATGTGTTTAAATTTAAATTAAAATGGTGAATACAATGGAGAGTTTTCTTATAAATTCTGAGACATTTGCTAAATGTCTAGCAATTAGCAGTTTTATTACCTGTCTATATCTTCCGTTATTACTTTTTGGTGTATATTTTCAGGGAGGTCTTTATGACATTGGGTCTATTGGAAAATCTAATTTCCTTACATTTTTATTCGCAGCAGAATGCTTGAAGCATGGATTCTGTTGGTATATTAATTCAAAGCAAGTAAAAAAACAGGAATTACGAAAGTTTAGATTTAATTCGCTATTAAAATTTGGATTTGTTATGGTACTAGTTTTAATAAGTTTCTATATCACAGCTGTGTTTTTTGGTGCCCCATTTTTTTCGAAACAGTCCGAGACATTTGTATTTTCTTTTATAATGACAGTTTTTACTGCATTACCTTGTTGCATATACCTTGGTCCTGATAGTGCAATTCCACTCTACTTGTCAATTACAACTTTTAATACTGATAAACTCCAAAAGAAGTTTTTGTTACTCATTCAACTGACTTGTTTTGGTGCCTGGGCTGGCTCCATTATAATTCCATTGGATTGGAATAAACCGTATCAAATTTGGCCGTTACCTAATATTTTTGGTGCATTTATTGGCAATTTTTTAGCACATTTGGTACTGGTTCTTTCATATTTATTTCAGAATAGACCGAAAAGGCGAAATTACCAAATTTAATTTTGTTATAATGATTAGGTAAATTTGGTTTAGCAGTTGACATTTTTATTTCCATCTATTCATTTTAGGAGCTGAAGGATTGTAAGAGCCAAATGACTGATCTTACCAATCAATGGTATCAAGCTATTAGGATATCACCTGATCAATCAGATGAAGAGACTGGAACAACTGGTAGGTCAAGTATATCCAGTATAGTTCGCTGACTACCCTTAAGTCGATCTGCTGAAACACTTATCAAATTGTCAACCCACAAACAGTGTTAACAGAATTAACTATTATTTTTAATGTCGGATTCTATTTTTCTTCATATTTATTAATGTAAAAATTTCAGTATTAAAAATACAAACAATTTTGTTAAATATTCTTAAAGAATAATGAATGCACATTTTTTATGAAAAAGTGGAATGAATATTTTTTAAATCTAACAGGATAAAGCATATGCACTTTCTTATTATAGGTATGAATCTTGTTTATAGAAAATATTCTCAGAGATATATGTATTATCTTTATGAGAATTTTTTTAAAATGTATAGGTATTTATGAACTGTAAATAGAAGTTTTGTGATATGGCCGGCCATTTTAATGTATTAAAGTTTTAAAGGAAAGGGAGGCACAAAATAATTTATACCTATAACTTATATATACTCTCAAATGTTTTTGTTCCTAAATTTATGAAGTATTAATTGATTTTGCAAATATTTCTGTATAATGTTTGGTTTTAATGTTAAGTAAATTGTAATCTATTGATTGAGAGAATTACACCGCTACTTATTAGGTGAATAAATACGGATTGTTGTGATAAAAAAGTATTTTAATTCATATAAGTGTTAATAATTTGCTGTTACGTTTGTTATCATCGCTTGTACGTATATTTAAATAAATTATCTTAGCAATACAAGATGGTATTTTATTATAATAATAAAATATGCATAAGTAAATTCTATGGGTAAATTTGGGGTAAATTCAAACTAGATTTCTCCTGCTTTGTTATTGTTTTCCACCATAGAGTTAAAAATTAAAATTTTCCACAATCTAACACAAATCTAACATCTACATATATAAAATGCTATTGTTTATCTGTGTCGTCTCTACCACAGTCTCTACTGAAGCACAGATTGATGTAACGACTTGCTCTAGAAAGTTGCTTTTTTACTAAAAGATAGCTAATTTGCTCTTCTAAAAACTGTCCTCGCCGGATTTTTTGTTTTTCATTTAATTAAAAAAAATAAAAAGTATTTTTTTTCTGATGTGGCGGATGCGCCAGGCTTCAACTAGTCATATATAAAATTATAAATGATTTAGCTCTCTTTCCTTATCTAAGGATTTAGCTGTTGGTATTTTGTTTTTAGTCTATATGTCTTTTATTATTTGCAATAATAAAAGACACATAATTATTGGCAACATTGCTAGAAGTCAATGTCAAAATAACAGTTTTTCAGTTCTGTGTTTCAGTTGTTTTTGGATTTGTTCCGTGTTTGTTCATTATATTTGGATTGTGATTTGGATATAGCACTTTTTAACTTTTTTAATATAAAATTTGGAAATTGTTAATAAACATTAATATTAAATATCCGCAAATATGTCTTCTGTTCCTTATTCAATAGATCCGCGTGCTCGTGAGCTTATTCCTAAATCTAAAGTTCTTGTTGTGGGAGCCGGTGGAATCGGTTGTGAAGTTTTAAAAAATTTGGCTCTATCAGGCTTTGAGGATATCGAAATTGTAAGTTTGGTTTGGTTTGGTTTGGTCTCATATTTTTGAACTGCAATGAAAAACTTTGTGTTTTATAGATTGATTTGGATACCATCGATGTTAGTAACCTCAATCGCCAGTTTTTGTTCAGAAAGGAGCATGTTGGAAAGCCAAAAGCTGTTGTAGCTCGAGAAAGTATTTTAGCTCATAATCCTAATATCAAAATTAAAGCATATCATGACAGTGTTCTAAGGTAACAAATAGTGTTATGAATAGTTTGAATAATATTTATAATATATTTAAATTTTAGCTCAGATTATGGTGTAAACTTTTTTAAAAAATTTAGTCTGGTTCTTAATGCTTTGGATAATAGGACAGCCAGAAACCATGTTAATAGGATGTGTTTAGCAGCAGATATTCCCTTAATTGAATCTGGTACTTCTGGTTATTCAGGCCAGGTTGAATTAATTAAAAAAGGTAGTTTTGCTAGGTTTTGTTACTCATTTATTGATTTAAATTTATTTTAGGTGTAACTCAATGCTACGAATGTCTTCCAAAACCACCACAAAGAACTTTTCCAGGTTGTACTATAAGAAATACACCCTCAGAACCAGTTCATTGTATTGTGTGGGGAAAACATTTGTTTAAGTAAGAGCATAATCTGTATAGTTGTGTAAATGTGTTAGGTAATTTAATTTTTTTAGTCAACTTTTTGGAGAAGATGATCCAGATCAAGATGTCTCTCCAGATGCAGAAGATCCTGAAGCTAAATTGGATGGAAAAAATAGTGTGACAGACAGTGGTAATATTAAAAGAGTTTCTACGAAACAGTGGGCTCAAGATGTGGATTATGATGCTGAAAAACTTTTTAATAAATTTTTCAATGAAGATATTAAATACTTATTAAGTATGGGTAAGTAGGTGTCAATTTTTCAATTACTTTTTGTGATATTAATGCTGAAATATTGTATAGAGAACTTGTGGAAAAATCGAACACCACCAAAACCTTTATCATGGAAAGATGCCCAAGATCTGGTTACAGATGAGAATACTAATAATGATAGTAGTGTAAGGGCTGTTGATATGGAAGTTTGGTCTATTGCAAAATGCTCCAAGGTATGTACTAGAAATTTTACTGCAAATGTATAGTGTTAAATGCTTGAGTATTTATTTTTGGAGAATGTTCTCTGAGAATGAACAAGCATAAAACCAAATGTTGAGCATTTATAATTAGCACAAAGAAAATAGTAAATAATCAATTAATTATTGGTTACTTTTTTGAAACTTGCAAATTAATTCTCATTTGTTTTTATTATTCTGGAGGAAAATGAGCATTTTCAAGACATTTAGAATAAAAACAGGAAAAAAATTGAGAAGAAATAGGTATTCAGAACATGTTATTCTTCTTTCTGTTCAAATTTATATTGCACAGTAACTATCAGCAATACATACTACAATGCTAATCTATCAGTAATCCATACTGCAATTTGCGAATGGAAACGCCAAATCAGTAGCAAAATCTATATAATGGAGGAATAATATTATATTGGGGAATCTCTTAACTCCTATTTTGATAAATTTTTGCATTATTTTGCACATTATTGCTTGCTAATGTCTAATATGGTGTATTATAAATACTATAGAGAAAATACTAGTTTTGTAGAAAGCTTATGCTATTTACACTCCAAAATATTCTGTTAAAAGAAAATATAAAAAATATTTATAGGGTACATTCTTGTTTTTTGTTGTTTGTATTTTTATATTATTGACGTGTGTGTATATTTATTATTGTCACCAATAAACTTGATTTTTGATTTTTTTTTCTGTGAATGTTCATGTCATTCCCTTGTTATGAATGGGAATGTTGTCTCTATTACAACACTAATAGCATACAATAATTTTACTTTATTTTAGGTTTTTTCTGAAAGTATAAACTTACTGCAACATGATTTGAAAGGAAAAAGCTATTTGGTATGGGATAAAGATGACAAGCCCGCAATGGATTTTGTTACAGCTTGTGCAAATGTTAGAGCCTACATATTTTCCATTGCTCAAAAATCTCGGTTTCAAATTAAATGTTAGTATTATATAAGATTATTTCTATAATTTTTAAACTTTACATTAAATTTTTTGTTACATTTTTAAACATTTACGTTAATTTTTCTTTTTGCAGCTATTGCCGGTAACATTATTCCAGCAATTGCTACTGCCAATGCCATCATTGCCGGTCTTGTTGTTTTGTATGCTTTCAGACTTCTTGTTGAGGATTATGAGAAATGCAATTCCATATATTTACGTCCAAAATCAGTTCACTCAAAGTTTGTTTTAGCTGCAGATAAACAGCTCAGTAAGGTCAGTTAAATTTAAATTTTTTGTTAATCAATGAGATATTTAGGCATAATTGAGTTTATAGAATGATCACATCCTAAAGAAAAGGCCAGGAGCGTCATCAATGACGCGACTGCATAGCTACCGTTCCTTGTCTGTGATTGGATTTAAATATTTTTATTCTAACACTAAAATAATATTTCGAATTATTAGTTTGAGTAGGCGGTCACCAGCAAAATATTGATGATACTCCTGACCTTTTCCTTAGTTGTGACTTGTGACCATTCTAAAAAGACTTTAAATTTCTTACAATTAATTTGGACGTTTTTAGGCAAATCCAAACTGTTACGTTTGCAGTCCTCAACCATTTGTAAATGTTTTTGTCAATGTTAATAAACTTACCGTAAAAGAATTCGAGACTGAGCTCTTAAAGAAACATTTAAATATGGTAGCTCCAGATGTGGTTTTAGATGGAAAGGGAGTTATGGTTATTTCTTCTGAAGAAGGAGAAACAGAAGTATGTAAACAATTCCATTTGTTGGACACATTTTTTGGCACACTCTGTATACAGGGTTCTGCAACAATGAGTCGGGTATCTGAAGCCCCTATAACAAAAAACTTAGGAATTTTACTTAAGTGCAAACCTAAGGTATGTACTAGGATGTATTTCATGAAATTATTTTAACTTTACAGTGTGGCAAAAGTGTGAGTCAATTGGGATGCTTTTTTTTAAGGGAACACTGAATATATTATTGCATTTATGGCTTCCGTTCTGATTATTTTACATAATCCTAACATATTAAATATGATGTTATATTAATCAATAAATAAAAACATATTTTTCTGTCTTAAAAAAATTGTTATAAATACAAGAAATGTCCTAAAATAAAAACTATACCGGGTGCGTCTCAAAAGTGGCTCATCCCTATAACTTTTTTATTTTTTCAGATAAATAAACGAGATTTGGTATGTTAGTATATGACATAAATTAGGATTGATTTTAGGAATGTTTAGGAGGGGAGTTAGTCACTGCGACCTTAAAGATCTATTGTGTGTTTTAGGATTGATTGGTGTATTCACTTGTTTTTAGTCACTTCCGGTCTCACCGGAAATGACTACAACTTTTGATTTTTAAATGGCACCCTCGGTATTTTTTTACTTTATTCGATAGAAAATAACATTCTGAATAGTATGACATATCATATGTCAACTTTTGACATTCTCGCTTAATAAAAAATTGTATTTTAAAATTCAATCTAGAGTGCCATGGCTATGTTACAAACACTAATTCTTCATCAAGGAGCCTTGTTTTCTTCGTCTAATGTTTTTAGTGTCTTGTCCTGGCCAGTTAGAAAATGCTTAAATCGTATTTTTAATCATATCTCAAATTTTTCAAATGGAACGAGGGTGGCTCATTAGCATATTTGGAAAAAGTATTTTTTTACGAATAATTTGATACCACACACTTGGTATTTCAAGTCAAATTTTCGTTACGAACCACAAGTTATAATTTCAAATACACCATATGCGAAAATGTCAAAAGTTAACATATGATATGTCATTCTATTCAGAGTGACATTTTCTAAAGAATGAAGTAAAAAAATACCGGGGGTGCCATTTAAAAATCAAAAGTTGTAGTAATTTCCGGTGAAACCGCAAGTGACCGGAAACAATTGAATACGTCAATCAATCCTAATTTATGTCATATACTAACATACCAAATCTCGTTTTTTAAACTAAAAAAAAATAAAAAAGTTATAGGGGTGAGCCACTTTTGAGATGCACCCGGTATAATAAGTATTTACCTTAGATTATATATTTACGTATTTACTATAATTGGACTGTACATATTTTGCTATTTGCTATAAATATCGTAATCTTAAATAATACGGGGTATTCAGATCATGCCAATCCACTCCCACTGGTTTGTGCCACCCTGTAGAATTTAAAATATTTTCCTGAAATTGACCCTACATACACTTCAGGTATGCACTTAAACAAAATTGCGAAGCTCTTTTTTTATAGAACCTACAAATGCTCTGTTGCAGGACACTGTATATCATTAATCAGAAAATTGTTAATAATTATTTATGTTTAGGCAAATAATGACAAAATATTATCAGAACTGGGAATTGTGGATGGTAGTATTTTAAAATGTGATGATTTTTTGCAAAATTATGAACTTACTGTGCTTGTTAATCAGTATGAAGCAGTGGAAAAAGATGATCCTCTGTATAAAGTTGTTGCTAATCCAGAGGAATTGAAAGCAAAGGAGTCCAAAAAGGGTGAGAATTTTATTATTAATTTTTTTTCCATCATTATTTTTTAATATTTTTTATTTTTTCTAGCTACAGAAAATGGTGCTTCTGAACAGAAAGAACCTGAAAGTGATGAGGATGATATTGTATGTATGGAATCTAATACAAGTGAAGATCCTCAAGAAGGATCTTCCAGTAAAAGGAGAAAGTTGAATGAAGACAGCGATGATGATATAGTAGAAGTTCCATTGTAATAAATCAGTAATGTGAAGAACTGTTAAATATAGTTTTTTTGGATCGATGAATGTTTATAGTAAAAAATTTCTATATAAGTGTAATAATTATTTTTTGTTCTTCTTAGTGTATGTGCTGGAATTTAAAATACAGAAAGAATTTGGAAGCCGCTTAAACTTGAATTTTTTTTTACTTTTATATTAATCTTAGAATGTACTTGATGAGTAAACAAGTGGATATTCTATATTTTATGATCTGTATTAGTTATAATTCTAAGAATGTCGTAATTTATTGTATTGTTGTCTTTAAATTTGTGAATTATGATTGATTTTTCAATAAAATTAATTGCCGTAAAAAGAATCTTATTATAGTACCGTACGATGGAAAAAAACGGCCTTAGAGATAGCTTCCAAATCGATTGATGATCATTTCCAAGCCACCTTGAAGCCTTTTTTCGGAGTTTAGTTATAGGATATAAAGTTTACACAAGCTCCCTTTCCTTGTCTAAAGGCGCATTCTCACGACTCGTGTACTTGACAAACATTTGTAATTGATATACAGGGTATACACGGTGCGTCGGGCATCTATACAGAATTTCTAAGTTATTTATTATAGGAACTACGCCGTACTCCCGCCAGACCCTGTAGGCTTATGGCGCGTTCTCACGGCTCGTCTACTTGGCAAGTATTTTTGTATCCAATTACAAATTATTTTATTTTTTAAAATTACCACAATTACAAATTATACCAATTACAAATGTTTGTCAAGTACACGAGTCGTGAGAATGCGCCATAAGATATAAAATCTACCTAATGAGAGAATATATGACAGTGACAGTTGTCTGTCGTTTTATATAGTTAAGCCGGAGTCTCATGCATCCGAAATCCGATGACACGACGATCCGACGGTGCTCCTATTGGTCGAAATATTTTGACACCAATTTTTATCCGATATTTTTAACTAATCGTCCGACGTCGTATAAAGTTAAATTTTGTTTAACTTTTGTACGAGTGTGTTTCTCCAATAAAACATGACATGAATCTCTATTCAATACAGCAGAAAAATGTCAAAACTGTCAAATTTCGGAACGAACTATCGGATGTATGTGACAGGCTTTTTTTATTTCACAGGATAACTTCAAATTTCGGATGTCGTACCATCGGATTTCGGATGCATGAGACTCCAGCTTTAGCTGTCAGATTAAAACGTCCGAAATTCGGATAGTCGTTAAAATATTTCTAACTTTTTACGAAATTTTAATAAACTAAATGATAAAATAATTTTAATATAGGTATTTTGAAAGTCAAATATGTATTAATATTACACAGCTTCTATCTATAAATATATTTGATGGTAAAACTAAAATTTCCAGTTTTCGTTTTTATTTTCATGTAATTATTTTAACAGTTTAGAAAAGATCTGTTGTGGATGGCAGCATACTAAGAATAAAATACTTTTTCAGCTTCATCTTTTGTTGATCTCAAAAATTACTGTTAGTTTTTCTCAAACCGATCAAAAAAACCGATTTTTGTTTTACTTAACTCCTTTTATTTCATTTTAATGACTTATTACTCTGTTTATTTTAAAAGTTATCATAATATAATAGAATAGAAACGGTGTCCAGCTGGCTTGGAAATGACAATCGATGACATTCCCCATATAATTTGGCATATAAAATGACAGCGATCTTCATTTCATAGCCAACGCTGACACCGTTTTTTTTTCGATCATATTTTGGTGCTCGAAGAAAAACGACATTCAGTTGGCTAGGAAATGACGATTGATGACATCTGATGACATTCCCTATATAATTTTATAAATAAAATGAGAGCGATCTTCATTTCATAGCCATAGTTGAAGCCGAAGTTTTTTTCGATCATGTCGTATTCGTATATTATATATATCTCTGCTAAAAATCTCACTTCAAAATAAACGTCGTTATATCATAGTATGCGTTGACTTTTCTAATTTGTCACAAATATCTAGTTAAACAAAAACTTTGACGCTCAATTTTTCGGTCAGTTCGTGTTTTGTGTTATTAAAAATTAAAATAGACTCCACAAATTATAAAAAGCGTGATACGATAAAATTCTATTACAAAAATGATAGAAAAATTATTAACATTATATCGACCGGCAGTGTGTTTAAATACGTAATGTTACTGTGAAAGACAACCGGATCGACTTTTTTTCAAATTGTTGGATAGGAATCTTGCTGAGATTGGTTTATTTGGGAACAGAACACACAAATATGGAAGAAAACATAACAAGGTAAAATTACGATAAATAACCAGCTGCTAATAATACGTTAAGAAAAAGAAATATTAAAAACTAATGACTATAATAATGTCAGTTAAAGGAATTGAATAAACGCCCTATGGTATAAATTAATTTAATAAATGCACAAGTTTGTATTATTTTGCAAATTTACGGTGTATGTACCGGTTTTATGAAAATGGACGTTTTTGGTAGTCTAAAGTTAAGTACCTATAGGTAGAAATATATGAGTGAAAGAGATTTTTTTCTTGAATTTCCATTGAGAGTTTTAGCTTTTATTAAAAATGTCATTGTAATTAAAAAGAAAGGGGTACTATAAAAATACCAAGGAATAAAATATGTTTAATTGCCTGTGGAATAAATAAACTTTGTATGCAATACTAATTTTGCTATATGTCCAGTCGGCTTGGAAATGATGATCGATGATATTCACCATATCGGTGGTTTTATGGCAAAAGGTCCTATGTCGAAATCTTATTGATTCAGGCTGAGAGCGTCGAGCGTCGCGTCCGCGTGTCGAAATGGAATCAATTCACTTAAATTAGACCGTTCAGGCAGACAGCGCAGCGTCGCGTTTGGCGTTGCGCTAGCGTCCTCTGAGCGTCGGGGTTCGAGTTCAATGGGGCGGACGCGACACTCGACGCTCTCAGCCTGAATGTACTGTAACACGAAAAACGTGTTTTGGCCAAAATTTCGAATTCCATAAAAATCATATGGTTCCATTTGGGCTAAATAAAGGACCCATTTGGCATTTTAAGCCAAATGGAACCATATGATTTTTATGGATCATCGAACTTATTGCCACATGATATGTAAAAAGAAAAACGCCAAAATTTTGATATAGGACCTTTTGCCCTAAAACCACCGATATAATGATCTCCATTTCCGAGCTATTTCTAACGCCGTTTTTTTTCTATTGTACAGGGTGGCGCCTCTCATACTCCAAGGAGAACGGAGAGGAGAACGGTAGTTTATATCGAAATGAAATTTTGGCAGCATATTATGTAGGCAGCGTATGCAGAATTATACAAGGTGTCCCCAAAAAAAGTTACACAGCAAAGTTGTGTTTTTTCTAATGGAACACCCTATATATTAATTGATTTTCGCATTCTAGGAAAAAAATAAAGTTGAGTTTTATTAAAGAAGCATATACCTAAAATTTAAGGATTTTGACAAAGTTCACATTTTGTGAAAATGAAGAGTAAATTTTAAATGTCGATAACAGGCTACCTAAATTTTAGTTGACCTTGTATAGCCTGATATTTAATTACAGTAACTATTGTATGTTAAACCAAATTGAAATTTGACCCGAAAAGTTATACAGGGTGAGACAAAATTAATATGGAACATTAGTCACTTTTAAAAGCAAGTTACTCCTATATTTTAAATGGACCACCCAGTATATTATTCCGGTCTTCAATGGGGAATTTATATATCTTCAAAATCTTCTTGAGGTTGCCTACCCCTCAGAGAAAAATTTTCCTAGATATTTTAATTTTTATGATTTTGCGTCAGTAGATCTTTATTATTTGTAAAAATCCAGGGGGGGTGGCTGTGTTATATAGCTTTTGTTAATTTAACAAAAATTAAAGATTGTAGAGTAATATACTCAACGGTAATAAAAATATCCAAGTATAAAACATGTTTTAATTATTACAGAATTATAACTATATATAAACCTATGAGACAAAAATTAGCTAGATGAAATCAAGTGCTCAAAATGCTTCCTTTCCTGTTAACTGCATAAAATGATTGTCTTTTCAAAAGGATCTTTTCATTTCAAAAGGCATACGTGGAGTTCCACCTCGAAAACAGCTACCATAATTTCTCTCATGTTGTCGACAATAGTTGGTTGAGTTTTGTAAACACTGTCTTAAACATATCCCCATAAAAAAACAGACTAGATAAAATCAGGAGCATTTAAGTATTCTATTAATTGGTGAATGCACACTTCATTCACCAACTAATAGAATCATAACAATTCTCTCTAATGTGGGATAAGTTGACATTTTCGACAAATTTCTGAGAATTTTTTTTGTTTTAACTGACACAAAATAGTAACTAGTTTTGTTAAAGTTGGACTAATTAGACAGCTATATTGAACTAACGTCAGACATATCACAGCCACCCCAGATTTTATCAAATAATAAAGATCTACTCAGTATCAAATCATGTAATTGAAAATATCTAGGAAAATCTTTGTTTGAGGGGTAGGCAACCTTAATAGTATTTTGAAGAGACATGAATTCTCCATGGAATATCGGAATAATATACTGGGTGTTCCATTTAAAATAAAAGAGTAACATATGCTTTTTAAGGTGACCATAATGTTCAATATTAATTTTGTCTCACCCTGTATCACCTATTGGATCAAGTTTTAATTTGATTTAAAGTACTATAGTTACAATAGTACAATAATTTACTACGTATTAGACCAGTAGTTCCCAAACTTATTTTTCTCGTGGACCACTTTCAAAATTTTACTGGTTTCGGTGGACCCCCTGCTGCTACATTTCTACCACATTCTTAAAGTCGCCAAAAAATAAAAATTGTGTCACTTCTGAGTTCTGTCCCTATATTCCGATATGTAAAATAAAAACGAAAAATGGTACATTTTATATCACTTTATTTATTAAAAGAATAGAATTACAAGAAAAATATTAAGGTAATATAGGTTCAGGTCATAATTTTAATTAATGGGAAGGATGTATCTGATGGAGTGTCAGCAAACGATCAATGTTTGGCTTTATTTTTGTGAGCAATAACCGCAAATCCCCCCGCTCTGTGATGTTTAATTTGCTCCTTTTTTTTTTGTTAAGAGGTTTGTAACGGCACTAAAACTCCTTTCGACAAGGTATGACGAGGGAAAAGCTATTAAAAATTTCCTTGCGATTTCCCACAGTCCAGGATATTTTTCGGGTATTTCTGCTTGCAGCCAAAATGTTGGGTAGCCTTTTCTAAATTTCACCTTCAGCTCCTCATTAGTGCTTAGCTCGAGCAGCTCCTCTTGTAATACAACATTGGCCACTTCCGTTTCATCAAATGGATTTATGATCCATGGTGGTATATCC